ACAGGTACATCACAAACGGTTCATAGTTCTTGCGCACTTCCGCGAACGCCCCTCACGTCCTCGACCTGTGAGCCGTTACACCATCCATCCCACCGGGGACAGCAAACTGAGACTAGAGTGTTTGAGAAGATAGCAGCACTTGCTCGATACATCGACTCTTTCGACCGCGAATCTTTCTAAGCGCCAAATATACATTCAAACACCTCCAACCATGCTTGCTGAAGTTGAATCATGGCGCATTCCTCAGGGATTAATCAAAGTCGAGAGCTTTGCCCCTTTATCATTTCTATGCATCAGTCGAGACTACTGAGACCTAGTAAGCATATCTGTATCCGTTTTCGCTTAAACATGTAATAGTACTAAAAAATTTTACTAAGTTCGTTAAGTGAAATAAAAATATCTGAATTTTCAAACTTTCTGACTCCATAAGTGAATGTAGTGGTGAAGATTGGCACGAGTGGAAAACACTTAAAAATATCATTGCTATCAGACTCACTTATCATACGTGGTTAAGAGAATATGAATAACTCTCTGAAACAAATGACTCAGCAACATATTGCTACTAATTAATAGATATAAGAATGGGAACACGCACAAATTAGGTTAAGAATACTTATACTTGATACTTGAAAAGCCCGTCTTCATTGGTTGTGCGGGCCCAGTATAATCTTCACTTTTCGAAGATTTGCTGGTTAAGCCATTGCGGCTCCCTGAAATCCCGAGGTCAGCCTGGTCAAAATCTTCCCAGGTCTTCACCACCACAGGCAGTCGCAGCCCTCGTGGATCAGAAGATTATCAACAATGCGACTTTGATGCCACGACGGTGGTGAATCCTGGTGTTGGTTTACTTTTAGCTAAACTTCCTGATGGAAACACCGGACTGCTTCTTAGGTTGGGACACCCTGCCAGGGTGATGAATCCCCCCCGTTGTATATCGCAGTCCGACACCCAGCAACACCTCCCAGCCACGATGAGGCGGTAAACCGTTGGGAGGAATTTAAGTATGAAAGACACAAACATGGATCAACAGTAGAAAAATTGAGTTTAAAATAAATTCGATAAAAATAATAACAAACTGTAAAAATAAAATAATAAAAAGGAAATAAATTCGAAAAGGGGCACTTCATTATCCGCAGCTTACTGCTGACTAAGAATGCATTTGGCTTATGCAGATATAAACTATTGGATAACTGTCTTCATCTAACTGAATTCTTCCTTATCTTACACATGGAAACGTAGGAACGTCTAATGTGTGCTGATTAATGTCTGAAACAAACTGGTTGGGTTGCACAGAAAACGAAGTGATAGTAAACTAAGTGACTGTGAGTAGTGGTAGCGTTGGTGCAGTTGTCACCTTGGATGCCGCAAAACGCCAACAAAGTCTCTCACTCCCGGGGTCGGGAAAATAAAATAGCATAGTTACTTTATTATAAATTATCCAATCTCTTCTGCGCAGTTTATCGCGTCATCGTGTGATGCCATTGTCTTTGGTGTCAAACTGTGCCACACTGTGAGACGTTCATCACACCTCTTTCTCACTGTCATATTAACAAAGCAGTTCGACATTTCTGTCCGGAGGCCCAGCTGAGAGTAAACGCATGACACGGCAAAATCAAGCGATAGTCATTAAATAAGATTCTGTAAAAATAAAAAACCCAACATAAAATTGTATGGTCGGAAGAGTAATACGGCTTGTAAAACTCTAGATCACGACGTGGCCAAAATGAGGATTTCAAACTGTTAGACCTTGTTATTCACTGACTAGCGAGAGCTGTAATGGTAAGCTTCATTCTTCTTTAAAACTAGCACTACGCCTTTCTTTCATTGCATAACGAGTTTTTGATTAACGGTAGAGTAGAATTTAATACTGATCATGCGGCTTCAGAAAAAAGTTCTGCTGAAATCGTGGATCGATCCAACGATGTATTGCAGCCCATGCAAGTGTTAAAACACTTCATCGTTCGATCATTATAGCCACAGATTCGTCCCCAGCCAGGGTCTCTCAAGCTGAGGAGTCCGGCCTCTCCATCGGGAAGCCTAGCTAAGAGTAAACCAATACCAGGATCCACCACCGTTCTGGTATCAAAGTTGCATTGAAGCAAATCTCCCTCTGATCTACAAAGGCTGCGACTGCCTGTGGTGGAGAAGACCTGGGGCAGACTTTGGCCAGGCTGTCCTCGGGATTTCAGGAAACTACAATGGCTTAACCAACAAATCTCCGAAAAATGCTGATTATGCTGGAGCCCGTACTAGTGAGGACGGGCCGTTCAAGTGTCAAGGAAGTACGTATACTATCCTAAATATAATGCTGATATATTTCTAGCCGAAAGGAAGACGGTGAGACCTTTAATGGGAAAAGAAAGTTGCCACGAAAAAAACTAAAAACCAAACAACAGTAAAACGGCACTATATACCAAGGCAACATTCCTTAGTAGTATTTTTTCTCTCATATACTTGTCAACGACCTCTGAAACGAAGACCAGGTAGAGATCCCAGAGACGTAATCATACAAATGTTGGACGACATATTAAACTGACATAGACAGTTCTTCTCAAATATAAGACTTATAACTACTACAGTGCTGAATATTTGCAAAACTGTGGACCGCAGGTGTCTGCGGTGGGGAACGAACACGCTATTGTCCTTTCCGGGAAGTAATGGGTTCACCACCACACCATGCGGGTTCTTCGTTTCGCCTGTACCTCTGCTAGTTCTGCGGTCCGGAGTTTTGCAAATGTCTCAGCACTATAGTAGTTATATTTCGCAAAATACTCTGCGTTAAAAAGAACAGGCAGTAAACAAAAAGGTTATGATTATAACACTTATAGTTAACTCTTTGCATTTCCATTATACTAATTTTGACTGCAGTCTGCTCAATCATTTCCATTTTAGCTTCACCTTACTGAAGTTGACCTATGTGAGTGAAATGCCGCATGAAGATTTCCTTTTGGTTTGACTATTAGTCATTCTTGAGTTTTGTTATGTGTCATCGTCTTCTACCGTTCGTTGGGCGTGTTGAAATCAGAAGAGAAAGTGACAGTTCTCAAACTTTGCATGAATATACACAAACATATATATATATATATATATATATATATATATATATATATATAACGTCATTTTGATTGTCAGACCATGTCCTCTCCACTATTCGCGGAAGACTTCAGGAAAGAATGAAAAAAGCGAATAGCACGTATTCTAGCAATCACTAAAATCTTTGAAACTGATGGTTTTCGTCGTGTTTTGACGTTGTAGTCGTACTGACACCGTTAAATCCTTTACTGGCGATTTCCAGGTCATCAATTGATCTTTTCGCCTGGAATAAGAAAACTAGAGAAACATCGAGATGAGTAAAATCTCAGGTTGTTTAACGGCTAGTTTTCTTTTATAGATGAAGCTCATTTCACTGCTCAAATAAATTTGTTTAATCAACCTTGCAGTCATAACTGATAGGAACTCCGCCCTTTATCTCTTATCGATTTTCATCAAAAATCGTAGATGCGGAACAGTACCCTCAAAACGGGTAGAATTTCTTCATCTTAAAAAAAGCTCTCACGAAATACGAAGAAGGAATCACCCACAATGCCGACGATTTGGTTATTAATCAACAAAGTCGGCGCGGTTTTCGAGAGAATATATTGGCCTAATGGAGCCGTCAATAGAATGGTGAGAACACATGCTGTTGCTGCCTAAAATCGTATTAAACTACTAAAATGCATTAATATCCTAATAGAGGAAACGGTAAAAATGTGCATAGAACTTTTTCACCACCTGCGTATTTGTTGTCTGTTATACGTGCATTTTTTTTTACAATGTTTACGTTTTGTTTTCTGCCTCCGCAATTTTCACGGCAGGATATTATTCGAAATACAACCACAACGATGCGTTCGTTCCCCACCGCAACGATGCGTTTCCCCTGCTGTCCGCAGTCTTGCAAATATCTTAGCATCGCCGTGGTTATATTTGTTTTATGACTTTATATTTGTTTTGTTAACTTTTTACTCACTAACTATTATTATTTTTTACGGCAAAATAGAACACGTAATTCAACCACTATGATGCTGAGATATTTGCAAAACTTATACCCCAGGCCAGATAGAACGGAAATCTTGGTGTTAACAACCTCGTGGTTGCTCATCTATAAAACAGTGATTTATGTACATGTTCACTGATTCGACCGCTCGTCCGAGTCTCCAAGGATACCATTTCTCCAGGGTCGTCAAATTGGTACCAGACCTGTCGGAGAGAATGGCTTCACTGGCTGGATACATTGCTAGGCCACCACTTGTATAGGCCAGAGATGCATTAAATCACATCCAAACGATGTTTGGTGAAGTCGAATGTATGGAGCATCTTTCAGAGATTGATGAAAGCTGAACGCCTTATCTATTATCGTCTAAGATATCTATACAGGAGTAAACTTATAAGCAGAATAGAAGTAACCACGTATTTATGTGTGCGGTACAGCGCTAATGGATTCACGCCACAGACCTTCTCTGTTCGATGAAGTGGATTGACTTCTACTTTCCGTATAAGTGGTCACGTCGCACAGATCAATACATTTATTGGTTTCCTGGTTTTCTCATGTATGTAGTCCTATATTTCTGCTCAGTTATACGGTTACCATCATCTAGATGGGTAGTGCATCCGAAACGGTTCGGTGCCGATCCTAAGAATAAATCCACATTTACTCTTAGAAATCTGGTAAAATTATTTGCTAGTGTTTACGAACCCACATAAATATTTCGGCGAATTTCAGGTTCTAGACTTTTAAATATTAGGTAGATAATTTTTAGAAAAGAATTAAATCTAGGAAACTAAAAAAGAAAAAGAAACTAGGCGCGCATAGGATGCAAGAACACAACGGAGAAGATTTTGAGGTAGGAGTCACTATCCTTACGCAGGAATCGAAAACATCAGCGCGAAAAACTCTTGAAGCGTTTTGGATCAATGCCAAAAATTCAAAAATGAACCGCAAGGAGGAGTGTCTTGTCATCACGCGTGACCTAGCGCCATACCTCAGGCTGATCCAATGATCTGACATGGACCCAGTTATCGACCATGTATTACTCTGTGCGGCGGCTATCCACCAACTAACTTAAATACTTACGACAAATAAACGGTAGGTGTTTGAATGAAGCTGTTTCTTATGCGAATACAAATCGATTTATCAAGTTTTATCTGCTAGGGTTATGAAAGTGTTTGGCTGAGTAGATCGCATCTCAATTTGACCTTTCCAGGCTCTGAAGAAGGCGAAACCGCCGAAACGTCAGCAATTGTGTTCTAATAAATTCTATATTAACAACCTCGTGTCTGCTTATTGATGAAAAACATTGAATTATCAATTAATGCCGAGGTTAACAGAAAGTCGGTCATGAGAATTAAATCTGTTTCATCCTACATGCGCTATTATTCCTTGAGGGTTTACAGCCTCGTGGTGCCGCGAGGTGTTCTTGTGCACAGAAGTAAACAAGTACCACGCAAAGCCTGGCGAACCACACTTAATTTTCTTTTAACAACAAGAAGAAAACTGTGTCATATGCAAAATGTGTAGCTCTTAGTCTCAAGCCACTGTTGCGTATTCGATGATTGGGAACGATGACGATAAAGGTGACAGATGATATCTAGGTGTCAACATATCTACACAAACACTTTTATCAATGTCTTATTATTTTGAACAGAGTGCCCGTCCATATATAAAAAGGATAAGGCTCTCACCGTTGATCAATTCCTAAGGAATACTCTATGCAATCGACTTTCTCAAGCATCGTTAGAGGTGACTGAATCTGTATCTAGCCAACGCATTGACTCGTTGTGGCCTGCCGATGTATCGAGCCAGCAGTGCTGCTATCCTCCCAGACAAGTCTGGTCCCAATTTGCCGACCCCAGAGGTATGGAAGGATCGGCGAGTCTAAAGTGCTGGATCCTATTGTATTGTGGGATACCTCTAACCAATGCACTACACACGACCTCTAGGTGATATCGTGATGCCAGCCTATCCTTTTCGGGAAGTGACTGATGCTAATGAGGAGTATCTATATCACTTACCATGTGGACTTCATTTTCTAGTCCGCTGTCGGCGAAAGCAAGTGCTGCTATATTCGGCGCCAGTGCAGCCTAGAAAAGCCTGCTTTTTTTTTACCATGTTACTTCATTTCCTCTATTGTCTTACCCTACTTTTCAAACACACTACGTAACTACTAATGCTTTCTCTCATTTATTGATTAGTTGATGACGCAACGTTGGCCAGTTTTTACGATTTCTGGAAACTCGCCGTCATGGCTTCATGAGCAGCAACCGTTTAAGGCTTGTCGTATTTATGATGTTAAAAAGCACGTCAATAGAACAGACTTTGTTTTCTGCTTCTGAACGTAGTAAACGAGTAACAATAAAAACAGCAGCATCGATCTATAGTTGACGACTTATTTATCAGATGAAATACGACCAGAATGCTTACTTGTACAGTCGCTTTGGGTATGAATGATAGAGCGATGACGAGCTGTTCCTTCATGTTAAAGTCGGAACAGCAAGAGAAGACGATTCCTGCAAGGAATCTGCATGCTACTCCAATGCCGATTAACGCACATCCAGTCAGCACCGTTTTCCACGTCATCTGAAACCTCGTTAAAGAAAAAGAACTCTTCAAGGTAGAAAAATAAAGAATTTATTTAGTTGTTTTTCTGCATTATTACGTTGGTGATTAATGAGCAAAAAATCAGCCTATTTACTAATTTTACAAAACAAATAGGTAAGTTTTTTCATGTAATGAAGACGGGAAAGAAGAGGAGAAAATTTGTTTTAGTGATATATACTCAAACTCTGAATAGCTGCAAGGACTTTTTGCGACTAAGGATTTCATCACTTAAATTTTATCATTGGATCAACAGATGATCTTTGCACCAATTGGAAAACCTTCCGGAGATCTATGATTCCCCAAGACCGACATTATATTAAACTCGGAGCTGGTCAAACAAACCACTATGTTCCTGTAGAACAAAAAGGTGTTACTTTATTCTTTATTGACGGTAACTCTGTTTTGACGAATTTCGCCTTGTTCAGAGCATCGAAGTTCTCTGTAATCTACCCGGTTAAGCACGTTCATAACCAAACAAAGAAAACACTGAACCAAGAGATTTTCTTCGTATTTCCGTTGAGCAAACGCGAGGTGTTACTATTCTTTGTTCACGATTAAGCTGACGTTTCGGCGGATTTCGCCTTCTGATCGCGATGATCTTGCGTCTAACGATCCATCACCATCACTATTTAAGGTTAGACCTATCATTAGCTGTGTAGACGGGCCAACGGACAGGATAACATGGTTTTTAACCCTAATATTTAACCAGTTGTTGAAACACATTCCAGCCCATCTTACGAATATCCAGATGTTTCTGGATCGTCTACGTACTGCGCAGCCCAACAGCGCGTGCGTGATGGAGTCCTTCGACGTTACCGCCCTTTATACAAACGTGTCCAATGACTCCGCAATGCAAGCCATATTCGAACTCCTTACACAACACAAAGGAGAAATAAACATGTATGGCTTCAGGATAGAGCACCTGATGGCACTCTTAAAGGAATGCTTGAGCTGCTCAATCTTCAGATAGTCTGGAAAGTACTACGCTCAAATAAGAGGGTTGGCAATGGGACAACGACTGGCTCCAAACCTTGCCATTGTATTTATGTCTAAGGTGGAAGCACCGTTGACTGATCTCGGGCCGCTACTCTACTGTAGGTATGTAGACGACTGCTTTGTCCTTTGCTCAACACAAGAGGAAATGGACAAATGCTTCCAATTATTAAACGCACAGTCAGAGTATTTCAAGTTCACCCAAGAAAAGCCGAAAGAAAAATGGCTTCCATTTTCGAACGTACAAATTCACCTATCAGAAAATGGCTACATTACAAAGTGGTACCGAAAGCCAAGTAGTAAAAATATCTTGGTTCATTACCTCTCCTCTCACCCCTCTCACACGAAAAGGGCGCTTATAAGAAACATGTTTCGAACAGCAACCAACGTGTGCACGGGAAGAGAGCAGAGAGAGGAGTCCCGGAACTTGGCACGGCAAACAGCCGTTTCTAATGGCTACGAAACTGTAGCTCAGAATAGGTGTAGAGGAAATCGTAGGCCTCCAAACGACAACTCTAGCGATAGAAGGGTCCCGTTTATCCTACCCTTCATCTGAAATGATATAAGTACAGCTATAAAACGCTGCTTAAGAAGGGCGGGTTTAGAGAATTCGGTACGCGTAGTTGAAATACCACCGAGTAATCTTAAGCGCCAGCTAGTTCGTAACCGCCTATATGACCGTCTATGTGCAACTCAAAATTGCATAATTTGCCCCAGTGGTAGAGACGGTGATTGCATGAGCTCGGGTATAGTTTATCTGATCTCCTGTAAGACGTGTGGTGACGAATACATTGGCGAAACGGGTAGACCCCTCTGTGNAAATGATATAAGTACAGCTATAAAACGCTGCTTAAGAAGGGCGGGTTTAGAGAATTCGGTACGCGTAGTTGAAATACCACCGAGTAATCTTAAGCGCCAGCTAGTTCGTAACCGCCTATATGACCGTCTATGTGCAACTCAAAATTGCATAATTTGCCCCAGTGGTAGAGACGGTGATTGCATGAGCTCGGGTATAGTTTATCTGATCTCCTGTAAGACGTGTGGTGACGAATACATTGGCGAAACGGGTAGACCCCTCTGTGCCCGCATGAAAGAACACCTAGCCGGCAAAAATAGACCAAATACCCCGCTAGGCACGCATAGGACCCAGAGACATAACGGGGACGACTTCGAAGTATGTGTCACGATCCTCGCACGCGAATCAAGAACACAGGCGCGAAAATCTCTCGAGGCACTCTGAATTAATTCCAGAAATCCGAAAATGAACCGCAGGGAAGAATACCTCATTATTACGCGTGATATAGGGTAGTATATAAAACTGCTTTTCTGATGTGAGGGGCACATTATACTTCCACGTGGTTTCTGTGCGGTTGGTCTCTACGTGACATACTTAGTGGAAACCTCATAGGAAGCGGTGAGTGTGCAAAGCTGTGTTCAAAGTGATTGAAATCTTGGTTTGGGGTTTCTTTGTTTGGTTATGGAGGCGTCTGGCCGAGTGAGTTGCTATCAACTTGACCTTTCCAGGCTCTGAGGAAGGCGAAATCCGCCGAAACGTCAGCTTAATCGTGAACAAAGAATAATAACACCTCGCGTTTGCTCAACAAAAATACGAAGAAAATTACTTGATCAATGCCGAGGTTAATAGAAAGTCGGTCGTGGCAGTTACTGAACCAAGATTCCAACGGCGGAGAAGCTGTTTTGTTTCAATTCAGTTTAAATCTTGGATTAATGTCTTCACTGTTTGTTAATGGTGGTGTTCGGTCCGGAAGATTGCAGTCAACTTAGTCTTTCCAGGGTCTGAAAAAGGTGAAATCCGCAAAAAGAGCGTTACCGTCAGTAAACAATAAAGTGAGGCCTCGTGTTTGCTAAACAAGAGTTTAAAAAATCATATGACGCTTAATTATTTATATATGTCTTGAATAATTGACGCAAACTGTCAAAGAAACCAGCAAGTCCGTAAAGCGCGATTAGTGTCGTCCCAAACAACAATGGCGCCAAAAACTATGTGGTGTTAACGTGTTATATAATAAACGGATAGAAGATAAATGGATTAAGCTAGCTATAGAATATGCCAAGATATCAATTTTGAGAAACGTGGACAAGTTCTCACGATCGAGAAGTCGAGTTTCATGCCGATCAAGGCGAACAGTAGAGGCATAAAAAACAGATTCCACAAAAGTGAGAAAGCTTTCTCCTCGTAGAAGATCTGGAAAGAAATCGAAGAAACTTAGTAATCATTCCATTATCCTCTTTAAAGTAAATTTATAGTAATCGGCTCTTATTTATTGCCTATTCCTTTTCATGGCAGGGTATAACCACAGTGATGTTGAAATATTTGCAAACTCCAGAACCCAAGTGCCTGCGGTAGGAATCGAACCCACTATTACCCCTTCCGAGGTTCACCACAACTGTGCTCCCCCATTTCGCCGACGAATGATAACATCTATAGAAACATGGTTGAGAGAAAGGCGAAGCGAAGGACTCACATGGCGTGGCGGAGAACACGTAAGACCCCGAAAAGGGTAACAGCAGGTTCGTTCCCCACTGCAGACACCTGCGGTGCGGAGTCATTCAAATATCTCGGCATCATTGTGGTTAAATTGATAGTCTCCCCTACTATAATAACGCATTTCAACATTTTGATAACCACTTTTAGCTATGGATTTTGACGAGTTTTCAAAACAAGACTTCTAAAAAACCACGTCAATGAAGCCGCGATGATGTAAAATATTTGCAAAAATTATCCTATAGGTCAGCTTCGAATTCGCGCCTAGCCGCTCTGGTGGCTGACACACTGCACCATTCAACTCTTTTCTTTACCTTTTTTTAGGTCTGTCTTTTTTACACTAACGGTGCTAACATCATTCATCCGCGTACAGGAATAATGCGGGTAGCACAAGTCGGCATTGAACGTAGTTAAACTGAAGCTGCTATTGAAATTACGTCTAACTTTTATTATTTCTGCATTACTGTGGTTGTGTTTCACATAATCGCTTGCCATAAAAAAGTAATAACTGGTAGATGAAAAGTTAACCACTACATCAACAAAATTTGATTAGTTCACCTTATCGTCGTTGTCCGTCTTCCACCGAACACCAACAAGAAAGCAAATCAAAGTTGCCGCGATGATTCCTGCACTTGGAAATCCGAGCACGTTTCCACCTTTAGAACAAACATTTTCAAGAGAAATCTAGTTAAATTCTAAAAGCAAACGGCTTCGCACTTCTTTATTTTAATTTGTACCTGACCGATCTGATAGTAACAAATTCAACTACAATTTTGACATTTTTAGCGTCAAAATTTTTATTGAAGGTTTTCATACTTCTCTGTATCACCCTTGCACATTCAAAAAGTCTTAACATCTTGACGTCGCAATTTAAGAAAAAAAAACAACAAAAATTAGCTGGAATTTTTGTTACTTATCGGTTAAACTTTCAAGCGTTCTATTAAAGTTTTAAATGCTAGCATATTCACTAGAACAACATCTTTGGTAAAGGAGCCAGGCGCTTGTGGCGCGATGGTCGGAGGCGCCCTGCAGCACACACGTGGAATCGATCTTCGCGCCCACGGTCCACCAAACCCCCACCCTTTCGGGGTCGGCAAATTGATACCAGACTTGCCTGGGAGAATAGCAGCACTGCTCGGTACATCGGTAGGTCACCGCGAGTCATTGTAAAGGCCAAATATGCATTCAGTCGCCTCCAAACGATGATTAATGAAGTCGAATGCATGGCGCATCTCTGACAAACTAATCAGCATCTGGAGATTTATTCTTCATTCTTTTAAGAAAGAACCTAATTCCAATAAGTTTACATTATATATACATAAACATGTACATATATACTCACCTGCTATACATAGCGCTTGGATACTTGTATGACCCGTCTTCACTGATCGTGCGAGAGCTAACCTAATCTTCATTCTTCGGAGATTTTCTGGTTTAGACATTGTGGTTTCTGGAGTTCGGAGGACAGGCTAGCCAATGTCTGCGCTAGCTCATCACCACCACAGGTGGCCGCCGCCTTTGTGGAAAAGAGGGAAAATTTCCCACCATGTGACTAGTTTGACACAAGGGCGGTGGTGAATCTTGGTATTGGTTTACTCTTAGCTAGGCACCCTGATGAATAATCCGGACACGTTCTCAGCTTGGGAGACTCTGCTGGCTGGACGAATTTTCCTGATGTGCATCGCAGTCCGACATTCAGAAACACTTCACAGCCACGACGAAACGGTAGACCGTTGGGAAGCTATATATAATATCACTTGTATCACTCATAGCTCCGTTGATCGCAGAGTGACTCGAGAGGGCGCCAGTAAATCCTTCATTTTTCCTGTCGGTACAAGAGCGGTCCAGCTGGTTTGGCTCGTTCTAGAGACACAACGAGCATCATGTCTTTCTTCTACGGCTTTCTCGAAGAACTTTCACCAAAAGGCCGGTGGTCTTTCTGAAGTTCACTTGACAACCCAAGGAATCGAGGCACTAACGGCTCCTGTCTATCGGTCGCCATTCATACGCATTGCGTGTCCGGCTAACTTTATCTTTCACGGTTTGGCGTACAGAACGGCATCTTTGATTTTCGGTCGTTGACGCAAGCCGGAGCATCGGATTCGTTATCTTACTTGTGTGAAAGGGGATCCTTTTAGCATCGTCCTTTCCACAGCGCGTTCGATAACGCTGAGTGATCTTTCATTCTACTTACGTAGCGACCAGGTTTTTGACGCATGCGTTAACGCAGGAAGTACCGTTGAGTCGAAAAGGTGGGCACGGAGTCGGGTCTTCTTTGTTCTCTTCACTACATCCTCGATGCTCTTGAAAGCTCCCTAAGCAGCTCGTTTCCTTCTGCTCAATCCTAGACAAAAGTCATTTATTACATTGATTTCCAGACCCACATAGACATAACTGGAACATCCGGAGATGTTCTTCCCGTCGAGCATGAATGGGACATACGAAACCAATCCGTTCCTCATGAATATCGTTTTTTCGAGATTTAGTCGAAGACCAATCTTTCCAAGGCTTTATCAAAGTCGGCCAACATTGGTTCCACCTGGCTAATGCTTGGTGTTATAAGAACGATGTCATCAGCAAAGAGAAGATTGTGTAACTGTCGACCGTCCATTTTCACTCCCATATTATCCCATCCCAATGTTCGCATGACGTTCTGGAGTATAGCGGCAAATAATTTTGGTGAGATAGTATGGCCTCGCCTAACTCCTTTTTTGATGTCAAATTTAATATCGCTTTAGAATTGTGATACCTTGGTTGTGAAATTTTCGTCCAGCTTACGAAAAATTTTTATGTACTGAGTAGGGACACCTTGAGTATCAACGGTTTCCAAGACTGCTTCTATAGCAACTCAATCAAAGGCCTTCTGCAAATCGATGAATGTGAGGCAGAGCGGTCTTTTGTACTCTTCAATGAGCCGTGTTACCAGCGTGGATGATGTCCATCTTACTAAATCCTCTTCGAAACCCTGCTTGCCTAAGCGGCTGTCCTTCGTCTAGTGTTGCGTTAATCCTATTTAGGATGACCCGAGTAAAAAGTTTGTAGACGACAGACAGCAAGCAGATTGACTGATCGCCGCCGATATCGTGTAGGTCACCTTTCTTGAACAATAACACGGTTTTGATGGTTTTCCACTGATTAGGAACCTTGCATTCAAACAGGTAACGTGTGAATAGCCGAGCCAGTGTGTTTACGAGGACTAGCAGAAGGTTCTTCAGGTGCTCTGGTCTTATCCTGTCGGTACCAGGTACTGTTCGGTTTTTCACGGACGAAATGGCGTGTCGGATTTTAGAAGGGATAACCGGTAGTACAACATATCCATCATCCTTTATTTTATATGATTGAAGGTGTAAGTGGCCATCGAAGGGATCGGAGCAGTATTTGTGAACGATTTTCTCCATTGCCTTTCTGGACGCCGCAACTGTTCCGTCTGGGAGCCGGAGTGCAATCATTTTAGTCGTGTAATTGGCGAAGCTTCGGTGGGCTTTGCGAATGTTATACACAGCCTATGCAGCTTCGACCATTACTGCTGCTCTTCTCCTTTTAAGATCTTTTTTTATCATCTGCCTGCATTGTTTTGCAAGTTCGGAGGTTAGTTCGCGGTTGTCTGCAGTTCGCGCGATTCCACGCTGGCTTATCAGCTCGGTAGTTTCTGGAGACAGACGTCTCTTGGTGACTTTCGAGCTCTCAGCTTTCATAACGCTAACGTGAAGATGTTGAATGTGCCGATCGTATTCTTCGTCGATGTTATCGACAACGGCATCCTTCCAACAGCCGGCTAATGAATTGAATAAGTCCCAGTTTATGGTGGTTCTGGGACTTTGGTTTTTGAATCTAACGGCTTTTTCTCCTTTCCACGAGGAATGCTCTTCTTGCCCGAAGGAGACGATGGTCTGATCCCGCGTAGAATTTTGGAACAACAGCGACATCGGTTAGGCAAGACCGTCTATTTACTACGATGTGGTCTATTTCGTTATGGTACTCTCCACCCGGAGACTCCCACGTCTAGTGTTGAGGGTGGCGCTCCTGGAATTGTGAGTTACCATGGATGGTCTTGGTAGCCATGATAAATTCAGACAGCCGCTCACCCTACTCGTTCCATTCTAATCCGTGGGTCCCAGTGTGACGTTCTTCAGACTTTCTTCTTGGTTCAATCTTGGTGTTGAAATTTCCAATGATGACCTTGAAAAATGTATGGTCTTTCCTGTCGAACTTCTCCACTCCACATAGACCGCTTCGATTTCTTTTCCGTCATAGTCTGATGCCGGCGCGTACACACGAAGAATGTCAAAGGCGGAATTGATCCACGTCTTCTTAATCGTAAACGTTCGATTCCGGTTGTTGGTTGTTCGGATGAATCAATATTCATTGAAAAACTCGTGTTGACGAGACCGCTGACGGCGCCGACTCCTCTACTGTCGCATGTTCCGAGAAACAGTTTTTCTCCGGTGTCATAGACGGCGTTGAAAGGCTGGCGTCTTCTCGTCTCGGCCAGGCCGATGACGTCGCACGTCATCGTTCTTGCCTGCATGTGCAAGTCTTCTATCGAGCACTCGGATGCAAGTTTACGTGGATTGTAGGTGCAGGTTGTCACCATACCTCTTCGTAATGCAGGTAGCTTCCATTGGTCCTGAGATTTCAGCAGCCTCGCCGTGCTCGTCCTACCCAGCGCTGCGAAATTGGGAGCTTTTTCGGGGCCAGGGGGATGTGGCTCGTTTTTTTTTTTACTGTGTTTAGCATTTTGATACCTACGTATAACTTGCTGTGCTGTGAACATGGGGCTGGGTGTACCCATGGCTCTCTCCCAGAGTGGACATGGAGCTCATTTGTTGGAGGCGACTCCTAACCGACTCTCATGTACTTCCCTGTCGCTTGATTGTAGACTTTCGGCCGAATTGACTCGTAGAATGCAATCTACATAAACTAGAAGGCACCCACACACGCGTGTATGAATACGTCTCATTAATAAAGAAGGTTTGCGCCAAATCGGCGCAGCAGAAGCAGGGAGTCCATCCCCTGGTTCCACCTGGGTCTCAGGAAAGCAGAGGTCGCTTTTAGTCCGCGATTAACCCCTTATCCGCCACCTGTGGACGCGCTACGTAGCGTCGAGGCTAACCCGCTATCGGATCCCTCATATGAAGGAGATCCGCAGATACATATAACATATAATATATGTAGCTTATACATACATATGTACATATATACGTGACGCATGCACATATATAATACATATGTATGGCATATATACATATACATATCTTTAAGAGCAAACGAATACCGGATATCATTACCGTCCTAGTTCAACTGTAGTCGCATGGTGGCAAGTTTCGAAATTTCCATAAGGGCGGCGACTTCCTGTAGTGGTGACGACCAGGGCAGACTTTGGCCCGGTTGACCTTGGGACTCGAGAGAAACACAGAAAACAGTGGCTAAGCCATCAAAAATCCGAAAAAAAGGAGAATTCGCCTGAGCCCGCACAACCAGTGAAAACGATCAATTGTAGTATCGAAGTACATATGTATACACGCACATGTTGTAGGGGCGGATAGCACAGTGTTATTGATATATGTCATCACGTGCACGGTCGTAGATCGATTCCGCTCCGGGCCAACCAAGCCTCTCATCCTTCCGAGGTTGAGAAATTGGCGCCGGACTTCTCTGGAAAAATCACTCTTTGCCGTCCAATCGGGGACGCTCAGCCAGGCTACTTCAGGACTCCAGGAAGAATCACTCGACCAGCATTCTACAACATTCAAGATGAATTGGAAATCCTCAGGCAGCAATCGATGCCACACGTAAAAGTTGGGAGATCTCCGTGGACAATGGATGCGAGGAAACAAATCGAATATGAGAACTGCTGGGATCCGCACAGCAAACGTGAAGACGGATCAGTTAAAATAGAATAAAATTTAAAAAAATATATATTAATATAAAGGAGTGAAGGTTTTTATATTACAATGGAGCGGCAATAGGCTTTCATAAACTTCACCTTGAATTTCGATGTGGAATACTGCAACGATTCAACGTATTGAGTTGAGACGAGAAGAAATTTGATTTAAACGAAAAAGAAAACGAGTTCACTCACCGAGTACAATAGCCGATGGTATGCTGGCAAGTAGTAACGTTCGACAAACTGAACTATTTCTCGCGGATGGAAGGGGGAACCACCATGAAATCCAACCTGAAATACTGGCTGAAGTGTGTCAAAGTACGAGAGAATCCTAAAATGTGACGTAGTTTTGTTGTTAAATTAGTTTGTTTACAAACTGAATTTTATGCTTTTAATAAAAGAACGGTTAAAAAAAAACTCAGCTGATCTTACCTAGAGACAGCCCAATTACAGTACCAATCACAAGCTGAGCCACAGTCACTCCGACAACTTCAATCAGTGGCTCTAGAGTGGTTTGATATTACTCGAGAAAACCGTGGTTGCAAAACTCGAACTCAACTACCGGATGACGATACTATGGTGACGGTGACTGAGAATGCTGTGATGCAAAATATGTTATCAAGTGTAGCAGACGCCAGCACTAAAGTCGGTATACCCTAAGTGTTGATAAAATTAGATGAACGCTTAAAAGTTTCCTCTAATTCTGATCTAACACATTAATATTTGCGATCCAGTAAACGGTTTACGATATGAGAAATGATCAAGCTGGTGATGTAAAAAAGGCTATCGAAGATTATCATGAAGTACAAGTTCGTCGCAAGACTGATTTTCTATTAACCTCTACATTGAAGAATAAATCACTGCTTTTCTTCAATGAGCAAACATGAGATTGGCATTACAGGATTTGTTAGCATACAATAGACCTTCCGGTAGCTTCGGCTTTTTTTGAGCCTAGAAAAGTTAAATTCACATGCAATCTAACTCAGGCAAACACATTCGTAACCATACCAGAAAAGGCTTAACGCGTGAAACCCCATTCGAACAACAAACTGCTTTTTTTAAACACCTACCCTTTTGTTGGTTATAAATCTTCCAGTTGATTGATGGAATTCAGTTTTACAGCGTATTACATGAGCGAGAAATATGCCTAGGTCAGGTCATAAAAAAGATAAAATGCCTAAGATGTGGCGTTAAGTTACTCGTGACCCCGCCACAAGGCACTCCTCTTTGCTATTCATTTTTGGATTTCTGGAATTAATCCAAAAGGTTTCAAAAGTTTTACTGGCATATGTTTTGGATTCCTAGAACAGGATAGTGACTTCCACTTCAAAACCTCCCCGACTATGTTTCTGTGTTCTGTGCGCGCCTAGTGGAGTGTTTGGTTTCAATTCAGTTTTACCGACTACGTGTTCTCTTAAATGGACGCAGATTGGTCTACCCGTCTCGCCAATGTGTTCGTCCCCACATGGTTTATAAGAGATTAGGTACACCGTATCCAAACTCATGCAATCACCGCCTCTACCGCGAGATATTATGCAATTTTTCGTTTTACAGGGAAGGTTATATTGCTAAAGCCAAACAAACCATTGGGGCGTGTAGCACACAGAACCATAACGAGGAAAATTTTGAAGTGAAACTCACTATTCTCGCAGAGCAATCCAAAACATCAGCGCGCAAAGCTATTGAGGAGTTTTGGATGAGTTCCAAAAATCCATAAATGTCGAAAGTCGTAATCGTAAGAAAGGGTGTCTTGTGGTTACGATAACCTACCGTCATAGCCCAGGCTGATTCTGTGACCTGAGCCGGGCACATTGGTCAGCCATGACACTTCGTGCAGCTGGTCTCCACTAAATGGAAGAGTTACAACGAATAGAAAGGTGGGTGTTTAAAAGAAGCAATGCAATAGTTCCCAGGATCGACTTTCTCTTAACCTCGGCATTGGAATATGAATGTGTCGTTTTCTTGCTCAGCAATCGCGAGGTTTTTAAACAGCATACATTTACTTCCATAAAAACACAATACAATACAACGCTAGCTGACGTTTCGGCAGTATCGCCTTCTAGAAGGCGATACTGCCGAAACGTCAGCTAGCGTTGTATTGTATTGTGTTTTTATGGAAGTAAATGTATGCTGTTTAAAAACCTCGCGATTGCTGAGCAAGGAAGCAATGCAAATTTACATGTTAAGTTTTGTCTGCTGAAGTCATGGAAATGTTTTTCTCAGCAAATCACATGTCACTTTAACCTTTCTAGGGTCTGAAGAAGACGAAACCGCCGAAACATCAGCTATTGTGCGCTAATAAAAGATACCAACCTCGTGTTTGCTCATTGAAGAAAAACGGTAAATTATAAAAGCAATATCAAAAAATTTTTGTACGAAGCTAAATTAAAATGAAATAGTTTTAAGAGCATTTACCTTTCTCGCTCCTAAACCTTGATTTTGAAGCTCAAGCATCACAGGAACAATGACGGCTGGTGAGACGGCTGTTAGCACGAACCTGTAAGAGCATTGCATAAATTCTGAGTTCGTTCTGTACTTAAAAAACATAGGCTCAACTTTTAAACAGGGTTGGAGAAGAATGATTCCTAATGAAAATGGCCTAAAGTAATGTTATAAAGTTTCAATGAATCTCATATCGCTTTTTAAATCACCTATTTTTCAAACGAGTTAAGAGCTTTTAGGGAAACACGGATTTTGCACAGAAGCAGCTCATTAATAAATAGTGGCAACTTCTTAGAAAGTTTTCTTCTCAGAAAAAATTAGAAAATCCCAAAATAGATCTAGTTTAAGGCATTTCAAGGATTTCATCTTAATCAATACATTTATAACATCAGCTTTACATTGCACCTTCTCAGTTATCGGTGGAACGGTCGTAAGAGTAGCAATCACTGCAAGAATTTCTGCTCTTCGGAAGGAATCGTAATCGGCAAACCACAGACACAACAAAAAACATAGGTGGCCAACAGTACAGATGGCCTGAGAGCACTATGGAATGGCTTCGTAAAAGGTTTTAGCTTTTACGATAAAGTTCTCGGTGCTGATCAATCCCGAGGAATGCGCCATGCATTCGAATTCATTAAGTATCGTTGGAGATGATTGAATGCATATCTTGCCTTTACAATGAACCGCGGTTGACTACCGATGTGTCGAGCCAGTGCCGCTATACTCCCAGACAAGTGCGATGCCAATTTGCCGACACCGGAGTGATGGAAGACTTGGTGGACCATGGGCGCGGAGATCGATTCCACGTCTGTGTCGCAGTGGCGCCTTGAACCAGTGCTCCACACGCGCCCTCAATGGCTTTGCATTCGGTGAAAAACTTTGAACTTTCACGAAAAGGTGTTTCGGATTTCTAGGAAGCTCATGGTCGGTCATACAATCGTAATGTGAGCTATGTGAGACGACTAGAGACCCTTGACCGCACAACCTTCACAAACCACATAAAATTCGAAAAAATACTTTTTGTATGAACGTACTTTCGTCCATTTCACTGTATAATTTCTTCATCATCAATTAACATTTTAGATATATAATCTATAGACAATTAAAAACTAACCCGCATACAAAGGCAATTGGCACAGACCAACCGAATACAAAAATAGCAGCGATCGCGATCATGCCGCTTTCGACGGCTGCCGTAAGAAATCCGAGGCCGAGAGTAACCGCCTTAATGCATGGTTAAACTATATTTGAATTCACAATGTTTTACTTTTTGTTTTCAGCCTACTACAATTTTCATGGCAGGGTACTAAGCGAAATTCAACCACAACGTTGCTGAGATATTTGCAAAACTCTGGACCGCAGGTGTCTAAGGTGGGGAACGAACGCGTTATTGTCATTTCCGAGGAATAACGGGTTCACCACCACACCATGCGGGTCCTTTGTTTCGCTTGTCTCTCAGCTAGTTCTATCGGTCAGCGCCATCGGCAATCACCCGTCAACGGGATTGATCTGGGAACCCCACATCGGCATTGAATTTTGAATATTTTTGAATTTTTCGGGAACCGACTTCCACTTAACTCGGCATGACTGTTCAACATGTATTCATTCACCAATAAACTAACACGACATTGATAAAGGGCTTTGTTCGACTTTCCCATTCCGCTGAACTGATGATCTGAGTAGACGATGCACGGTTTTGGTCATGTCGCGGTGGTGTCTTCGTCGTCGTATATGATCGAATCGTTTTCAGTTAACCACCGCTCGAATGAAGCAACTTCACCCTGCGATGAACATGAAAAAATACGTGTTGATTAGTCATGCCGAAGTCAAAGGGGAAGTCGGTTTTTGAAATAATGATCCGAAATGTGCTAGCTAATTCAATACTGACTGCTGCAGGATAGATTGTCGGTTGAAATAACAGGCAGTATTCTTATCAACAGGCAGTCGGTATCATCAACGACCACCCTTTATAAAAGAGCACCACCGAGTGAGGTTGCTCAGTTCGACTGGTGCTCCAGTTAAGGTGATTTGACTTAATACCACGACAAAGACATCGCACCGAGAGGATGAACGACCGTGGACCATTGACTCGGATCGTCGGCTCTGATGAAGACTAAGACATCGAAACGTTAGCCAAATTAGTCTTTAATTAACCTGTTAGCTTATCAATGAAAGATTACATATATGTCGTCAATTTTTATTTACTCCCTACTAATTTTTAACGGCAGGGTATTATGTTAAATTTAACCATAATATTGCTGAGATATTCGCAAACCTCCTGACCGATGGTGTCTACGGTGGGAAACGAACACGCTACTACTCTTTCCAGGGACTAGCGCCTTCACCACTGTACCATGCGAGTCTTTCAGCATAGATCATTAACAGGTCGAAAAGACGGCTGAGAGACAGGCGAAACGAAGGAATCGCATGGTGTAGTGGTGAAGGCGTTAGACCCCGAAAATAGTAGTGTGTTCGGTCCCCACCGTAGACACTAGCGGTCCGGAGACTTGCAAATATCTCAGCAACAATATAGGATTACATATATTTCAATTGTTTCTGACTTAGCAAAGAATTTCATAACTTTCAAAAGGTAAACGTTGTTCTGCAGCCACTTTTCCTCACTTAAAATTGCTTGTCTTGTCATTTTTCCATGACTGAGCAGAATTTCTAACTCTCATAAAGTTTCCTTTAATGGCGAACGGGTTAACACCCGGTAAGGGTATTAACGCGTTCGTTCCCCACCGCAAACACCTATGGTTTAGAGTTTTGCAAATATCTCAGCATCGTTTTCTTGTTCAGCAATCGCGAGGTTGTTATACAGCATACATTCACTTCCATAGAAAAGCACAATAGTAACTGACGTTTCGGCAGAATCGCCTTCTTCAGAGCCTGCAAGAGTATACTGATATACAATTTAGTAGGCCAAACGCTTCAGTAACATCTCGTGTTTGGTCAACAAGAATACAAAGAATTAGTTGATCAATGCCAAGGTTAATAGAAAGTCGGTCGTGGGAGTTACTGCTTCAATAACATTTACAGAAAGACGAAAAACTGTATGGTAATTACATGGTGAACAGCTTCTGGAAAAACTCTCCGCTTTTTTTAGGTGACTTCCAATGAGAAAGTTTTGAACAGCTGATTATAGTCGCATGTGGTTGACGACTGCACCATCCCACATCAAAAATCGATGCGAACATACGAGATCAGGTCGCGTATGACCTCCGGGCATTCGTCACTGGTATTCATTGTAGGGTTTTTGGCATTGATCCAAAAAGCCTCAAGAAGTTTTCGCGCTGGTGTTTTAGTCTCCTGTGCAAGGATATTGACTTTTGCTTTAAAATCGTCTCCGCTATGCTTTTGTATCCTATGCGTGCCTAGTGGGGTGCTTCGTCTTAGTTTTCATTTGCCATCTAGATGTTCTTTTATACGGATACACAAAGGTCTGCCCGTTTCGCCAATATATTCATCTCCGCAATTGTTACAAGAGATCAGGTATATCGTACCTGAACTCATGCAATCACCGTCCCTGCCGTAAAGGCAAATTACGCAATTTGTTGTTTCACATGGACGGTCATACAGGCGGTTACGAACTAATTGACGACGTAGAGTAGCTGGTGGTATTTCAACTATCGCTACNTCCTGTGCAAGGATATTGACTTTTGCTTTAAAATCGTCTCCGCTATGCTTTTGTATCCTATGCGTGCCTAGTGGGGTGCTTCGTCTTAGTTTTCATTTGCCATCTAGATGTTCTTTTATACGGATACACAAAGGTCTGCCCGTTTCGCCAATATATTCATCTCCGCAATTGTTACAAGAGATCAGGTATATCGTACCTGAACTCATGCAATCCCCGTCCCTGCCGTAAAGGCAAATTACGCAATTTGTTGTTTCACATGGACGGTCATACAGGCGGTTACGAACTAATTGACGACGTAGAGTAGCTGGTGGTATTTCAACTATCGCTACCGATTCCTCTAGACCTGCCCCATCGTTTAATAGCTACGCTTACTCCATCGCTTATAAAAGGCAACATAAACGGAACTCTCCTTTGGCCAAGTGTTTCGCTTGGGCGCATCGCGAAATTGTAATGTTTTTCTATGGAAGTAAATGTATACTGTATGAAAACCTCACGATTGCAGAACAAGAAAACGACGCATTCATATTCCAATGCCGGGGTTAATAGAAAATCGATCCTGGGAACTATCTCAGCGTCTTTGTGACTTCCTTTAATGATTTCTAAAAAGCTCTTATTCGTTCATTGTAACGGAAATATACGAAGAAGAGGTTACATTGATCGTCGTGGCAGAGTGGAGCTTGCGGGTGCAGAAATGCGATCGATGTATAGATGGGGATATTTGCCCTCCTAAATCTCAGTACAGGCTAAGGGGTATGTCATTTCTACACGAAAGTGAGGCTAAGATTAAATCAACGTCAATCGCCGCCAAAGTAGTAAAAAAGAGTAAAGCGTTAATTGCAGCGTGGATCTTTCCCTGAGGGACGTGCCATGTATCCGATTTCATTAGGGATCTTGGAAGTGAGTGAATGCATATCTGACGTGTACAATGACTTGCGGTGGTTCTAACGATGCATAAAGGTACTATTTTTATCCTTCTGGACAATTTTTATAAAAATTTACCGACCCCGGAGGGATAGGAGACTTGGTGTGTTCGCAACACAAGATCGAACCAGTGGCCAATGCATTGTGTGAGCAACGCACCTCTAACCATTGTGCTAAACGATCTTTGGCATCATGAAAGGCCATTGGCGGTAATTCAAATATTCCTTCAGGATATAAACTGACTACTTCTTCAGGATATAAACGACTATTATTTCAGGATGGCAAGTAGAGAAAGTGGTAGAACGTTTATCTCAAGGCTGCAAATGAAGGAAATCTTGCACGACTAAGAGGTTACTGGCCCAATAAATGTTCTGATGAAATTTGTATTATCCTTTCAGAAGAAGAAGCGATCTTCTATTAGAAGATCTATAAGAAGAAGCGTAACCAGCTATTGAACTGGTTTCGCTGAGAAAACTATTTTGATTATAACTTCAATGATGCTAAGATATTTGCAAAACTCCGGACCGCAGGTGTCTGCGGTGGAGAACGAACGCGCTATTATCCTTTTCGGGAAGTAACGTGTTCACCACCACACCATGCGGGTTCTTCGTTTAGCCTGTCTCTCAGCTAGTTCCATCGATTTATTTTGCAAATACCTCAGCATCATTGAAGTTATATTTCGCAATACACCCTGTCATTAAAAACAGTAGGCAGTAAATGAGACTTTTAAGACTATTTTGATTATTTTATTTAGAATGGACTTTGTTTTTCTCACCATCGCCTTGCGCAGGTAGTCCCAACTGAGGCCTATTCCGCAACGGATGAGAATAACAGTGAGCGCCAACGTTCGAATGCACCACTCCCATCGTGGATTCACGTAGAACATCTCATTCAAAGCACTAACGTTCTTTACTAAGAAGCCGACCAGTAGGCAACCTATAATGTTGGACGCTAAGTGGTTCTTTTGAAACAAATATTTCGATACAGTTTTTTGGGAGGTTTTAGCTAAGCTTTAAAGCTGAACGATCCACATTTTTTCAAAGCCTATAAGGAGGGAAAATGAAATTAGGTCTACATTATATATTTTATTCTCAATTGCCATGCACAGCGTTGCCAGGCTTTTGGTCAGTTACTCCTCATGTTACTCCTCATGCGCTACAGTTATAAAAATGAAGTGATGCATAAAAATAGTCACTAAAATAAAGCAAAAATGAAAGCTCAAGTAAAAATAACTTTCTTAAGCACTATGGATTTCGTCGTCAAAGTTAATCGAATTTTTTTTATATACATGGAATAACTTCATCACAATTTCGCTGTTAAATGAATCTTCATCGATTTGTCAGTTTGATTTTCATTCTTTCCTACGAATGACGTGAACTCTCAAAAACATCGTAACATCATCCTATGATTGCTGCAGTATCCCCATAATTGTTACAGTAACAGGTAATGTACACTTTTGGAGTTTTTAAGACTAGAATGGGGTAGAATAGCGCAGCAGTTAATGGTGCTATCGATCAGGAAGCACAGTCGCTAGTTCAACCCCGCTCCCAACTCTCTCCTCTAATTCACGTGACAACGGGTTGGCCCAGCTATGACCAAGGTCACAAAAATATCTAACAGGACCAGCGTTTTACGATATTCATAATGAAGATGAAATCCTCAAGCAGCAGCTGAAACAACGTGCGAAATGTTCGAAGACCATTGTGGGCAATGAATGCGGGGAAAAACCAAACGAATGCAAGTAGTATTGGGATCCACACAGTAGATGTGGTGACGAGTAATGCAAAAAGAAAGAGCCTAAGGTAGTCAAAAGTATGGAATAGGTCTTCCGGTATTGACTAACTCTTGATCAGGCACCATGCAGTCGTCTCCATTCATAGCATCATAGATGTAACTGAGCGCAAGTTTGATCTGCACAATGACTTGAGGAGGTCAATGGACTCATAGTCAGATCAGGCCAATTGAGTGTTTTATTTTTCCATACAAGTTTGGTATAATTTTGTCGATGGTGAAGGGACGGGAGCTTAGCTTGTCTGCTTCATAGGATCGAACCAGCGACATTGTGTATATTGTTGGGTGCCCATGAACACTGCGCTTCGCGCTCTACCTAAATATTTTGTGGAAAGAAATGTAAATGAAAACCCACCAAATAAAGGCGGAGATGAAACATATTCAAGCAATTTTCCCAAACAAAGTGACATCACTAATAGAATGAAGATGGAAAACGTCGATGTGATAAGACTAATGGAAACCGTTTGCTCATCGTCTACAGAGGGCTGGAGATCGATGAACGGATGAACTGAAATCTTTCAATTCTCCTATTTATACCACTGTTAAAAAAATTTTTCAGTGCTTTTGAACTTTTCGGTTTATAAAAGATGGCATGGAAAAGTTGGGTGAATGGAAAGAAAAAGCGTATTGAATGAAGTTCTAGTATCCATTTTCCTCACCTTTTAAAATATTTACTTCTACGCTCTCTTTCCTACTTCTCACGATACCACTGCGCTTTCTTATCTTCATACTTGATTGAAATTTATGGAAACTCAAGCAAAAACATCTGCGTCAATAGATAGTGGTCTGCCTATGGACCAGACTTTGGCCGATGAAACGACTCTACTTACCAATGTTTCTACCGAATGCCGCGAGTACAGACAGGTATATCGCAAAAAGAATCAGAAATGAAGTAATGAAAAAGTTCACCTGAAATGGAATTTGTTGTTATGATGTTCAAATGGTGATTGATGGACCCTACTAGATAAAGGAAACGGTAATTGTTAAGTAGAAATTCGTGTAAATTATTGATTTATAATATTTGATTACCACAGTTGCATGTCTTTACGATTTCTCTGTTGGTTCAGTAAATTCCTTTTCTTTTCTGTATGATGACATAGTCATGCTAAAACGTCTTCACATAGTCGGACCGCAGACAAAGTTGTGTCCGTTTTTTCGCCTCACACTTTGTTATTTGACACGACGGAGGTGTTTTCAGGCATTGGTTTAGTCCTAGTTGGTCTCCTACATAAGACATCGAACTTCTCGCAGACGGAGTGACTGCGTTTGAAGCATGAAGAACCCTAGTTCACACTCAAAGACACTACATACTTACTTGAAAGTTGATACTTGAATGGCCCGTCCTCACTGGTTTTGCGAGCCCAGCACAATCACCATTTTTCGAGGATTTACTGGTTAAGCCATTGTGGTTTCCTGGAAACCTGAGGTCAGCCTGGCTTGGTGGGTCAGTACCAGGTCCTCACCACAGGCAACCGCAGTCCTTGTGGATCAGAGGGAGTTTCGCCACCATGCGACTTTGATACCAAGACGGTGGTGGTTCCTGCTATTGGTTAACTCCTAGCAAGGCTTCCTGATGGAAACGCCGGACTCCTTCTTAGCTTGGGAGACCCTGCCTGTGGGCACGAATCCCCTCGCTGTACATCGCAGTCCGACACCCAGGAACACCTCCGAGCCATGATGAGGCGGTAAACCGTTAGGAGGCAGGGCACTACACAACAAGATGAAGTCAGTAAAACATGGACATGAATCGTATGAAGTGCTGAGATATTTGCAAAACTCCGGACCACAGGCGTATGCAGTGGGGAACGAACACGCGCTGTTGTCCTTACCGGGGAGCAGCGCACTTCACCACTAGCTGAGATACATGCAAAGCGAAGGACCCGGATGGTGTAGTGGTGAAGTGCGCTGCTCCCCGGTAAGGGCAACAGCGCGTGTTCGTTCCCCACTGCATACACCTGTGGTCCGGAGTTTTGTAAATAACTCAGCACTTCATACGAGTTATATTTCACAACATACCCTGCCATTAAGAAGAAAAAGGTAGTAAACAAAGGAGTTAAGATGGACATGAATATTTCCATAACACGATGACGGAAGTTGCAGGCGTTAATTCACTTTCACGTGGATCTTCGAGGTAGAAACGTTGAACTTCTTGTTTATGGGTAGGACATCTTGCTTCACAGACTCCTCATCCATGCTAACGAATGCCTTCTCGCCGCTGTAAGAGGATTAGCAATGTAAGCGAATGTGTAAATAATACAGAATGCAAACTTCTTCAGCGCATTAAGTTTTCCTTGTTATGTCTGCGTAAGCGTTATTGTTATATCACCACTTGCTTCTGGAAAAATACCTTCCTAGTAGGTATTCATGGGTTTTTATAGGGATTTCAGAATTTCTTTTGTAATGACTGTAAATGGAAAATCTCACATGTTCGTTCCTGAGAATTTTGATGACTACTTGAATAAACTGGATGTCTCGTAGCGGCTCAGACATCGCTCCTTCTGGCCAGAGACTGAGTATACTAAAATAGAAATTGAAATAGTAATCCTTCATTGCACAAATTTTGCTCGTATTTTGTGAAATTTAATGAAAGATAGGTGCTCACAAAGGCTTTTAAATGGACAGCTTTATTGCACTCAATGTTTAAGGACTTAACGGGAAATATATGAATGTAACAACATCGTAGAATAAGAATAGGTGAGAAAGCTTGTCAGTTAATGAGTTAGATTTAGTCGAAAGCTCTGCCCATTAATATTTAATGGTTCAAAAGATCTGCTTTCCATAAGCCTCGGCGTACTAATTGGTTGATAATGATATTTATTTTCGGCTAACGTTTCGACGTCTTCGTCTTC